CGCGCGCGCGCGCGCACACACACACACACACACAGTCCGCAGTCGGTCAAGCTCTCGCTTCCATCATCGGACTGACCCTTTGTCCTGTACTGCCCTCCTGACTTCTTGGCACGCGTGCCCCCGTCGTCCACAGACACCGGCCTCGATGGGGAGGTGCAAATCCCCGAAGGCACGGGCAACATCCTTAGCAAGGGCAGCAAGCTCCAGGCTGCCGAGCCGGGCCCGACGTCCGAGCCGGCGACCCCGGGCCCGGGGCCCATGTTTTCCGAGCTGTCCATCATGCGCGGGGCCGGAGCTCCGGGCCCGGGGATGTCGGCTGCCGCGGCGGTGGCCACCCCGCCCCTGGGGCCACTTCCCTCTGAGCGGTTCCTTCGCCGGCGGACCAAGAGCCAGGCCGGCGCACGGAGCATGTCCCGGGAGTTCCTTCGTCGGCTGACTAACGACGGGACATTGGAGCCGCCACCGGGCCCCCCTGCCACGCCGGCCGCCTTGGCCACTGTCACCGGACCGGCTGGCTCGGCTGCCAGCCACCCGGCCGCCGCGCCATCGCCCGTGCTCCCGGGGCTGAAGTCCGCCACCGAGCCGCTGGGCGATCGCATTAGCGTCGGCATGCCGCTCTTTTCCACGGGGCTCCTGTCGAGCTCGGCTTCGGGGGCCGCTCCCGAGAGCCTGCTGGTCATCGGTGGCGGTGGTGGAGGGAGCTTCTCCGGTGTGAAGAATGGCATCGTGCGTGTCTCCTCCTCCTCCTCCTCCTCCTCCCTCCTCCCCCGGCGGCCGGCCTGCCGCCGAGTGGCGTTTTCTCTCCCTCCCTCCCGCCCCCTCCCTTTTGCTTTTGCCTTTCTCCCTCATGGTCGCCCCGGGGCCCCTTTTTTCATTTCTTGCCCGCTTGATTCATTCACTTACCTATTCCCTTGTCTGTTGGCCTTCCCTCCCCCCCCCCTCGCCTCCCCTCCTTCGCCCTGCGCTCTTCCCCTGTGCAGATCTCCCTCGACGTGTCGGAGGCCGAGGCCGTGGCCAATGGCGCGCGGTCCCACGTGAAAGCCGGCTTCCGGACGTCCACCGGCAGCCAGGTGGTCCAGTGCATGGCGGTCAGCGATGAATGCCAGTTGGTGGCCTGCGGCCTGGATGCCATGCTCCAGCTTTACGCCTACTCGCCAAGCGGGTGCGCAAATCCCTCTCCCCCTCCTCGCCTGCCGCTGATTCCCTGGCCCGTGCTCACGGTTCCCCTTCTCCCCTGCCTCTCGCCGGGCCTCCTCTGATCTCTTCCCCCCCCCCTCTTGGCGGTACGCGCAGTATGAAGAGCATTGGCATGGCTCTGGCCAATCAGGAGGTCCACCAGAAGAACACCTCCGGCTATTTGGTGCGCATCGGTCACACGGCCCTCGGGCGGGTGGATGCTTCGCCCTTCTTCCTGGCCTGGCGGCCGCGCACACGCTGACCCGTGCACCCCCC